ACTTGGGGGCCGGCTATAGTCTCTTCCCTGATGCCTTCGGGCCGGTGAGCCTYAATTGCCATCAGTGAAGTCGTACATGATACGATGCGCCATCCCTGSAGATGTCTYCACATAAAGAATTTATTTTTAAAATTCTTCCATGGATTAAAATTCTTGATTTTCGATTTTAAAATATTGCTGATTAGATTCCGGCCATGTTGACATTGGCATTAAGAAATCTTGACCTGAAAAGGAAAAAAACACACAAACAGAKAACGTTAAAACACCAACACACATTTACATAAGACAACACGACTTTTCTCACATGACTCTGAAGATGACTTCCGCTCAGTGTCGAAACGTCAGTCACCCCAACAACAGTCTTTCTCAAAACTACACTCTCCCGTACGTTCACACTTCACAACAAGCTTCAACACCTGGCTTCAAACCATTTAAAAGACACTGATAAGTTCCTGGTTAGAAATGCTTCCTGAGTAGAGAGTTCACACTATGACAATAAAATACCCTTTTATGCACTTGGTTTCCCTGTATTTTCTACTCAAAGTTTTAATATCCTATTTATTCTTCTAATGATACCGATCACAAATCTTTTTTAAGGGAGCTTATCTTGACGTTCCTGCTGAGCCTAAATCACCGGCTGATTGCTGTCTTTGCAAACCAAGTAAGTTGCAAGGACATTCAACTGATACCTCTTCATCGCTAATCACCACCGCAAGTACAGGCAGTGGCAGAGCTCTGAACTGTGCTGTGTCGAAGCAGTTGCGGAGGGGGGGGGGGGGGGGGGGGGGGGGGGGGGGGGGGGGGGGTCGAAGGGGTCCACGGAACCCCCTTAAAGGTTTGATCTTTTAGGTAATAGAAATATGTCTTAAATATAAATTTTGTTGAACACGAAATGATAGATATTTGCTGTTATAATGTTTAATTTACCTTTAAAGTGTATATGACACGAAAACATTCCATCATTTAAAATGTATAGTTTGTTAGTAATAATAAATATATCGTAATGAAATTTGTTTCAAAAGCTTATTTCTTGAGATATTTGCGAAAGTTAATCCCAATTTGTGACGTC